CATGCTACTCTAATGTGCTTTAAAAATTTAGTAGCAATGGGGTTAATTTCTATAGGAATCTTGTGAGAAAATGAAAGATTATTTGTTTTAAAATTGCTGCATAAATGCTATCTGTTATTTGACATCATATCTCTGAGATACTTTATAAATTTCTAATGTCTTCTTCAAAGGGTTACTATCTTCCACTAGCCTAGATCAAAGAGTCTACATTTGACTGTAAAACTGGGGAAATATAAACTATTGGTTTCCTCATTGAATCCCAAGCTCTTTGCTTTTTCTGCAACCTAGCAGTCATTATCAAGCTCTGAAGGCAAGAGAATGAGCTGGCTTCCTCCAGGCTGTAGCAGGAGAGAATGACAGTTCTTTCCAACAACTGTCCCACACAGTCTTAGGGGTCATATCACTCATTAACAGCCCACATGCCTTAGCTTCACTTTAGTCATCTAAATCTTTCCGTGTCTTCAGCATGCATCTTTAATTCTATTCTTACTGCTTAATTTGTTATTAAAGAATTTGCTTCCAATATTGAAGTAAATATCATTATCTTGCTGATAAAATACTTTGTTGATGTCAGGGTGAGCTGTGAACCCCTGACTGTGTGGGACTGCAGAAAAGGGGTAGGAGCATGAATCAAGGCTGAGGAAAACATAGAAAGGCTTGAAAAGATGAAGAAGATATGAAAGGGATATGATAAAAATCTATTACCTTTTTTTTTCTAGAAAATTCACAGAGTGGATGGGAAACAGGACCAGGACAATGATAGACATGTCTGAGCACCAGCACTTTCCTTATCAACCTGTGCAGTGAGTTCTGTGAAGAAGCAGGGAGTTGGTCAATGCTATCCATTTTACCTGATCAGTCATTGCTTCAGGGAAAGGAGCAGCAGGGGAGAGGATGAGCTTCACTGAGAGTACGTGTCACCTCTGCTTTACAAAAACCGAGTTGCAGCACCACAGCCCTAGGGATCCCTGGAAGATCTATGTCTCCACCTATGGATAGACAGGTGATAAGTAACTACGTAAAGTGTACGGCTGTCTGGTCTTTAGTACTTGATGTTTCTGAATGCATTAGGGAAAGTGCTGCTATAGACTTGTACAGACTAATTTAACACTTCTAGAAGGTGATTATTTTACTCCAGGAAATTCTACACTAGGAACATGCTGATCCATTTCACAACGTGCCTAAGCACAGATCAGGACCTGAGTGTCAAGACTCCTTTTAGCAACTGAGACTCCTGTGGCTTTTTTGCTTGGTTGTTTGTTTAGAACCTACTTTTTAAAAGTAATTGAGATATTTTCCTACCTTAAATTACATGGGATCTGATTCAAAACCCAGGCAGGTTTCAGAGTTTATAGCAAAATGCAGTGATTTGTGTTTTGTTCCCTTCAAATCTTACCCCAGGATGGTGATGATCACTACAAGTTCCCATTAAATCTGACACAACCACAGTGGCAGTCGAGATCTCTCAGCTGAGAATTGTCCCTCTTAAAGCAGATGAATGGTAAATTGTAACATGAAGTTAATATAATCTGTAGTATTTAGCAAAATGGCAAATATGACATTTTGAAATAGTATCTTCTTTCCTGAAGTGGCTTTAGTCCTTCCTGCACTATAGGACAATCTTGTAGTAAAAAGTCTTATTAATTTGCCTGTAAAAGAAAGGTATACTGAAAGAGTTTTAATGCAGTTTGCATTAAAACAAGAAAATTTACTGGCTGTGTACCTTCACGAGTTACATATGTTGAGTATTTATGATGAGGATAAGAAACAAAATATATTAATAAGTAGCTGAAAATTACTTATGCTGCCTTTTTGCAATTAATCTCTGGCATAAATCTGGAATGAGAACTATGGAAATTTCAACACGAAAACCTGAAATATAAGATTAATAATCTGAATCTGACTACTGTTCTTGAATTGTATATAGAAATTTTGTATCTTTACATTTAATTAATTCCATTCAAACTCTGTGTGCATCTATGATGAATGTGTCACAGGATAGCATTAATAAAAAGTAAGTGGATTAACACATACTGCAGTTCTTGCCACACAATGTTAGATTTGCTGTAAAACTCTAGATATGGGGGGATTATAACTAAGGGGGATTATAACTAAGGGAAAAAAGTTATATTTCCTTTAAAAAAGACATAATCACAATAGACTTCTAATTAATTTTAAATTATTTTAAAATTTTGAATTAAATAAAAGTTTTAAAACAGTGTAATATTTGAAATGAAATAAAATACAATATTAATTTTTTTGTAATCAGAAGACAACAAAAAGAGAGACAGGAATAAAACTCAAGGAAGAGAAGTGATGCACAAGATAATTGCTCACCACTTGCTGCCCAACCCAGCCCTAAGCATTCATTAGACCCAGCTCCAGCCCAGCTCCAGCCCAGTTTATATCCTGGGCATGGTGTGGAATATCCCTTCAGCCAGTTTGGTCCAGCTGTCCTGGCTGTGTTCCCTCCCAGCTTCTTTTGCACCTCCTCTCAGGAGAGCATTGGAAACTGAAAAGTCCTTGAAAAAATATGAGCACTGCTGAGAAACAGCTAAACATCCATGTTATCGACATTACTCTCATGCTAAATCCAGAAACAGCTAAACATCTGTATTATCAACATTATTCTCATGCTAAATCAAAAACACAGCACTGTACCAGCTACTAGGAAGAAAATCAGCTTTATCCCCGTGGAAAGCAGGACATCGGAACGTATCAGAGATTTAACCAATATTCAGGAATCAAGAAAAAGAAATAAATCACGGATTCTTATTTTCAAGGGTACAGTCCTGTGTTTTTCTTGGGGCTAAAATCACCGATTCACCAAAAATGGCTGTACTGAGTTTCATGCACTGTTGTATTAACTTGTACAGTTATTTTTACCTGCAAGTCAACACCCATATTGTTTGTATCTTTTATTATGTAATTACTTTTGTTCTCTTGGGCAGTTGACTCAATAATGTTGCTTGGGATAAGCCTATATAACATATAAGGTTATGCCATCATTTGTTCAGAATGCTATATGATAATATGCACCTAAGTAAAGGTGAGTCAACAGTTTAGAAAAAGAAACATTATTCATGAATATACATATTAAATAAAGTGTCTATAGGAGGGGGAAAAAAATGAAATTCTTTGTGTTCTCTATCCTATATAGATTGCCTTTGCAAGGAAAAAAATATGCCTTTTCTTTGAACTCAGTAAATGCCCCCTGGGTCATTTATCAAAAGGGAAGGAGACTTCTGTACAGTCATCTTACTAAAGGAATTACAGAGCTCTTCAAGGAGATGACATGCTTCTGGGGACCGTAACGCCCACATCAATAATATTAAATAGCATTTGCTATTAAAGGGAATCCTGTTACAAATGAATCTCTGGTCTAAAACTCAGATTCCATCTAATCTTTTAGTTGGCTTCATTCCTTTGAGACAGTCTTGAATAGAAGCATTAGGTTTACTCAAGCTGTATAGCATGTCTTTAATGCCAGCAACAACAAAGAGGTTTTTGCTCAAGGTCTTAGAAAAGGATCTGGAATTTCAGATATTCTTTTGGACTTTTTTCAAATCTGTTGTTTTCTAGTACTATGAAGCATTCTCTTTTCTCTCTACAAAAATAAAAAAATCTTTTCTGCAGCTGTTCTTACAGCCCCATTTTACACCTACTCTTTCAAATCAGTAATAACCTGTAACTAAATGCTTGTCATGTCCTAGCCTTCATTGACAAGGAGGTTTTATGCATGGATGTGTGCACTCTCACAGACAGAGTCACCAAAAAGGATTGCTGGAACTGATGTAAGGTGATCATCTGATCCTCCACCCACATGCTTATTGATATGTATAATATATGTGTTTTCATGTGCAATGTATTGGTGTATGCAACAATAAGTAGTCAGCAATTTGATGCCTAATTAGTAAACAAACATTCTGCTCAGAGCTCTTTTTGTTCAGGAATCTTACCTGCTGGAATATAAATTTTCTGACAGATATGAAATAAAAAGCCAGCCAAGTAATCAAGAAACTTGTCAGTTAAATAAGAGAAAACATCAGCTCTTGAACATTTCCTCCTTACCTTGTGTTTCTCTTTATAAATGAAATTGCTTTTATGAGAATGCCTAAAGCAATTTCTACACTTTGTGTTGTGAGGAATAACACCTCTGTTAAGGAATATTGAGGGTTTGTTTTCTGATTAAGTATTAAAAGTAATCCCATTGTGCATTCTTTTCTCTGCATAGTTTATTCTCCTAAGTCATTAAAAAGCAGGAGACACTTCAGTTCTCCCATGTGATCATCACAGTGGAACTGTGAGATGAAAAGTGATCTAAATTATATTTTTTAATTTTAAACTGAGCGCATACTTCCAAACACGTATGCTAACATCCACTCAGTGATCTGTTTTTAGGATTCTATCAAGCCATTCCAATGATGAGATTTTTAGTAAAATCCTTATCAGGAAAATCGTTTGGGGAACGAAATTCCAAAACCAAAACAAGATCTAGAGTCCATCTTCAGAGACAATTATACTCAAACTCTACTGCTACTTAAAAGTTTTCACTCTGTGATCTGCAGGGTGCTGCAAACAATCCTTGGAGAGGAGCGTTCTCCAGTGTAGCTGCCAGGTAAAAGCACATTGTACTTTCTGTAAAACTCTGCCCATGTGTGCCGTTATCGCTGTCACAAGAAAGTTGTGATTGAGGGATGTAAACAATGCAGGCAAAGGTAAATAACAGGTAAAGTGTCTCTATGCAGTCCTCAAAAGGAGCAAGGAAGGACTCAGAGACATCTCTGTGCTATCAAAAGATTTAAAAGTCCTATTGCAGGATACAACTTTAAAAAAAAATTAAGGACTCTCAATAAAAAAATCTCCTTAAACAAGCTGTTTTCCCATTGCAGGCAAAGAACAGGCAGGAAGTGTGGCATTTGGTGAACAAAGAAAACATTCCCTGAGGGAAATTTCTCACATAAATCACCAGCATACTTATCTGCCTTGTCTCTCCTTAGCAGGACGGGTAGCCGAACCCATACACTTTCCCCCTCCTCTGAAAGGACGTGTTACCTTGGAATCATTTCCCCCAAAGCCCTGGGAGTGGCGGGCGGTCCCGCAGGGATGGGGGAAGCACTCTCCAGGGTCCTGGACCGAAGGCTCGGCCGCGCTCCTGACTGGGTCAGGATGGTGCAACAAAACCATTGCTCTGACTTCTAAAGAGACCGTAGCAATAAGTAAGAGGCTTTCACCCATGGTCCTCAACACAGTTTCTGCTTTTCTCATTAATAAGCAGAATTAGTAATTTAGGGGAGCATATGGCTCATTTCTAGTCGGTTGTACATTAGCACTTGGGAACGGATTCTCTCTGCACAAAAAAAAAAATGCTTTATGAGATATGAATTGCATATAAGGAAAGCTAGCTAAAGAAACTGAAACAAATGAGGACAGACAAAGCAGTGGATCTGCTCTGCAAATGTGTGAAATGGGAGTTCAAAATGCAATTGGATTATTTAACAAAGAAAAGAAGGTCACCCTCTCTTTTGGACTGAGGAAATGAGCAGAGATTTGGGCATAATGCACTAATGTTCACCCCTGCACATCATATGACTTTTACTGTATTTCTTCTTTATTCAACAAAATAATATAACTAGAAGAACTAATACCTGGCATATCCCAAGGCAGACGAGCTCTTTCTCATGTGACTGGTGATTGTAGATGTAAAATTGAGTTGCAGAGAAATCATTGGCTTCTGCTCTGAAATGAGCAGAAACATGCAAAAAAAGAGTTGGACTTATTTGAGAAAATAGCTACCAAAATGATGCCAGGAAAGAAAGTGAGTGGATGAGATGCTTTCTTTGTATTGCAACTTGGTTATGTGTCATGTTAGTTCCCAAAGGCAATATCTTTTCTCGTTTTCTGGATAAAATTCTGTGTCCAGTATACTGTGCCCCATCTCCTCTTCTGCTGGTCTCTACTCCCATCAACTTTGCTTAAGTTGATCTATGTTTTCATGGTAAGGAATACTTAAAAAGTATGAATGTTATAGGTTGATGATGGAAAATAGAAGGTGAAACTGAGTTTTGGGGTGAATACATCTACATATCTATATCTAATTATCTATATCTATATCTATATCTAATATCTATATCTATATCTATATCTATATCTATATCTATATCTATATCTATCTACTTTTTTATAGATCTTACTACCTTTTTTTGTGTATACCAGGTGAATTCTCCAGCTTCTTCTAGGCTTATGACAACAATGGTAGAAAGACAAATTTAAATGTCTGAAAGCCCTTTCTAGCATTGGAAAAACAAAAAAAATGCTATTCCAAGGAGCTTTGAACTTGGAATCTAGTTTTCCCAATAACATTATAATCTCTTCTCCCCCACCAGTAGTTCTTTGAGCAATATGAGATCCCAGTGTGTCCATGTGATCAAGAAGGCCAATGCTTGTCTGGCCTGTATCAGTAATGGTGTGGTCAGCAGGACCAGAACAGTGATTGACCCCCTGTGTTTGGCACTAGTGAGACCACACTTTAATCTCGTGTTCAGTTTTGGGCCCCTCACTTCAAAAAAGACATTGAGGTGCTAGAATGAGTCCAGAGAAGGGCAATGGAGACTGGGGAAGCGTCTGGAGCAAAAGTGTAATGAGGAGCAGCTGAGGGAGCTGGGAGTTTTTAGCCTGGAGCAAAGGACACTTAGGGGACACCTTACTGCTCTCTACAACTGTGTGGGAGGAGGTTGTAGCCAGGCAGGACTCAATGTCTTCTCCCATGTAACAAGAGACCAGAGAAGAGGATTTGCACCAAGGTAGGTTTAAACTGGATATTAGGAAAAAATTCTTCACTGAAAAGGCTGCCAAGCAGTGGAACAGACTGCCCAGGGAACTGGTGAAGTGACTGCCCCTGAAGGTATTTAAAAAATGTGTATATGAGGTGTTCAGGGGTTCAAGTTAATGTCAGGCTTGGCAATGTTGGATTGGCCATGATGGATTAATGGCTGGACTTAATGATTCAATGATTTCCTCCTCAGCATTTATGCAAGATTTGGAGATAGAATTTGAGAAAACAGAACTAATCCTCTGTTTGCACAGAAACTGGTTCTTGACCTTTGTCTCTGATTATCCAACATCGCTTGCTTGAGGCTAACGACTTGGACAGTGCCTTCAGTACACCTGAGCCTGAGAGCCCCAAATTTCTAAGGACTGCACCCCGTTCACTGAGTAGATGATTCAGATGCTGGTTGTTAAGCATTATGAAAGACTCATTTGCAATTTCTGTCTGTGTGAAGTAGCTTTTAACTAGATAAAATGTGGGGCAATATTTTTAAAGCAACCTAAACTGTCATAAATTATAAACGTGCTGGATAAAGCCCTTTTTTTCTGTGCATTTACTTCATTAATTGCTCAGGAAATAAACATCAAACAATTAGTACCCCTAAAAAGAATATGTACACATAAATGTAAGACTTGTGAACACAGCTGGAAAGCTGGAGAGTATGAAATAACTCTGGTCTGTGCCTTCTTTGTATAGAACTTGCTGTGCCACTGGCCAATTGCAGAATACCACAACAGGTGATCACTTCTAACACAGTGTGTAATTCATAAGAGAATAAAGAGACAAAGTCCTATTTTCACTCCAACTGAATTCTAAAATCATTACTAACAGTTAGGATCCATTACTGGGAAACTATTGTCAAATTATATAATAAATCAATGTGTTAGAAGCACTCAGTACTCTGCATCACATCACACTTGCATATTTTATAAATGTTCTTTTGTATATTGTAAAATTTGTAGATAATGATGTGTCTCTTTATGTAGTTTATTTTCTAGTGGCTGCCTTGGTCTTAGTCTTTTATCACAAAAATATCTCAGCTTTTGACCTTTGCTCTTATGGTCTCCTTTCAACATAATGTAGGTTGCCTAGCACAAATTCTATTCCATGCCCTGCATTAGGAAGTTTGGAGTGAATTTCTTTCTGGCGATACAGTGCCTGGCAAAGGGACTGCAGATCATTTGCCATAAACATGGGGTATTCCATCATGCTTTCCAAACGCACAGCTGAATGGTCCCACTCTACACCAACAGTAAGGAAAACCTGGATGAAGGAGCCATATATTGATCAGGTAATTCAGATTCTGCGTTTTTTCACTGTTATTCTTACAAACCCCACATCAATTAATTGTTCTTTCTGCATATAATATGCTGATTACTCCCTGCACAAAGGATATTCTTGAACAGTTAACTTAAATCTTCCATGGGTGTATGCCAGATGGGGGAAAAATGGGATAAAATCAGTACTTCTGTGACACACAAGCACTTCCTCCAAAGGTCAGCAGTACACAGCGAGGGTAAAGATGCCACTCACCTGGTTATGGGTAAGGCACTGTTTTAGTTCAGTTCTATTGTGCCCAGCTGGGAAGGCAACTTCTTTTAGTTCATTCAGTCAGCACCTGGTTCACTTTGTGTGCTGTCAGTGGGCACTGTGTGCTTGACAATGGTGTAGGGAGGAGGAAATGGGAGGGGACTACATGTCTCACGTGGATAAATGAACCTCTGTGCTTAAGAAACAGCATAGATGAGGCAGTCTACCAGGGAAATCCAAAATTAAGCATATACTCCCTGTGTGTTTATGTATAATCACATAACGATTTCCTCTGGTCTCCCAAGCCTTCATGACCATGAACAAAATGAGGTTCTAGATGGAGACTGTAAAGACCCTTTCAGCTCACCAGAGATTTCAGGATGAATAAGTATGCTGGGCAAGATTTAACTCAGCTGACCTGAGTAAACTGCTCATCTCACCTAGCAGCATAGTTCAAATTCTTAGTTACTGTCATAACTTGCTTACAAGTTGAAATGGCTTCCCAAGCAAATAAAACTGCAAATGACAAGGAGAGGAAATTATTTACCTTTACTCTGTCTCTCATTCTCTTTTAAAATGTTTTTAATTTTTTTCTTTTCTCTTTTCTTCTTATTTTCATCCTTTCTTTCCTCTGTTTTTTTTTTTCCCTTTATTTTCCCCTTTTCTCTCTTTTTTCCTCTTTAATTTTAATTTATTTTAGGAGCCATTATGCATCAAAATCTGATGGTTTCTTATTTCATCACTTCTGTTATGTTAGGCAAGGTTTCCAAACCATCTGATGAAAGATTTTATAGAGGACTTCTTTTCAAAATGAATCTTCTCTTCAATCCTAAGAACATAATAAAATTAACATTCCGAAAATTTTAGAAATGAAAATGAGTTTGTCTGTAGCTCAGGCTGAGACCCTGTATTTTCACTGTTGTCTTTAGAGAGTGTAGAATGGGAACATTAAGAAATAACTACCCTGAATCATTCTTCTAACATCATACATTCTGTTATGATCAGTTTGGTGGAAGAAAGGATGAAAAAGGAGAACTTCAAACTTCTTTTTTTTTGCTTGCTCTTTAGGACATTAGCTTAAATATTACTTCCTACGAAATGTAAGCTAACTTGTAATGACATGCTTTCTGGGATTAAGAACTTTTTTTCTTCCAGATTTTGTTGATCTGGAACTCATAAATGATTTTGCAGTTCATAAGAATTGAAGCTATTTATGTGTACGTATACATACGCAAAATTTCCCTTAAAATAAAATGAAAATATCTGTAAAATACCCTTCAGCATAACTAATTTCTTTTGCCAAGATAAACATACCCTTCAGTGCACAGGTGTGACAGTGGTGACACTACAGGTCAGAGTATGTAAAGTAATGCTCATTATTCTGAAATTTTTCCCCAAAGACTATGACCTTCAGTGAAAATAAACAACATTTTGAAAGCAAAGGTAATGCAATTATTCATAGACTGTTTTGGATTAGTTGGCAGAAAAGGAAATATTTCAGTTTCAGCTTGAAAATCAAGCCATTATTTAACTTTCAATGTGCAGTTCCCATAGCAAATTCATTTTTAATGGGATGGTGTACCTAGTTTGTACTCGGTAATTCAGCTATAAGAAATCTGAGCTGTGTCCCATAAATCGATCTGAACGGTATGCCATAAGACTGCAATAAATTTATGAGGTGCCTTAAAAAATTATTTAAAAAAGAGAACAGAGCATGTATTAAGCATTTTATGCCTTATACAGATTGCAATTCAAATCTTTGATTCTAGAAAGAAAGCTGTGGTAGATTTTAAAACTGTAAAACCTCATTTGAATCCCCTGGAATTCTTTGTATGAGCAGTAGTATCTCCAGCAGAATAACATGGGAAATATTGGCAAAGCTGTTACTGAAGTCCAGGTAGGCACATTTACAACCTTCCCCTCATCCACTAAGTGAATCCCCTTGTCATAGAAGGAGAGCAG